TCCCTAGAGACTCAAAGTCTTTTCCCTCTGTCTTGTCACATCTCTGAAAATGTACACGTCGAGGGATTTATTAGGGCGGGAAGCCTAGTAGGTGCTCACAGCGCAGGTGGAGAAAGATTTAAGACATATCAAAGTAAAAAAGTTTCTTTTAAGCTTCAGAAGAACAGAAAGAGAGAGAGAGAATGGAGGAGACAGCAGGAAGATGGCATCTCAAAGAAAGAGAAGAGGGCACCAGCAGTGAGGCCAAGTGGCTTGCTGCTTTTCTGGGGACAAAGAGAAAAATAGTAATTGTGGAGTAATTAGCAGGCAGTCGGAGACAGCAGTTTGTCCGTCTTTCTTGTTTCTTCTGTTCCTGGAGACTTGCTTGTCTCAGAAACGTAGCCAGGCCTAAACTGGGGATGTGATTTTGCCCCTGAGATACGGTTCTAGGCAGGAAACTAAGACTTGGAGCTCACCCCCTGTAGCCCGTCCCTGGGCTTCTCAGGAACACCTCCAGGCTACAGAGACAGATTCCGATGGCTGTGAGTTGGTGACATAAAGAGAAAGATTTACATCTCCTTTCCGCTCTTTTCAGATGCCTGAGACAAAGGAACCCCGCAGGGTGCCTGCCAGCTTTGGGAGAGCAACGGAGTAGGGAGAGCTCCAGATTGATCTGTAGCTGTTATTAGAAACTTGCGGTATTCGGTATTTTCCCAGTGTTTCAGCAAGGCTGCCCTATCAGGATTCCCACTCTGAGGTAGGCCTTCTCACCAGATTTCTATACCCAGGGGAAATGCTCCCATAAGAAGAGTCCACAATGGAAGTCATCATTTCACAAAGTGGGAAAAGAAAGGTTGAGAAACAGGCAGGGGGAGGTAGGAAAAGGGAATCTCTCAAATTCCCACAAGGTGCCTCAAGGTGGAGTAGGGGACCATGGCCCTTTTGCCTTTCCCTTCGTTTTTCTTCGGTCACCTCCTGCAGCTCCCTGGTCAGCAGCACACGAGACTCAGCACTGAGATTGTCTAAGGCCACAGGAAAGTGGTGGAAAATTCACCATCACCATTGCTGGGAAGAGCAAATTGATGGCTCTGTTCTTTTTTTTGGAGACAGAGCCTTGCTCTGTCACCCAGCTGCGTGCGGTGCAGTGGCGTGATCATAGCTCACAGCAACCTCAACCTCCTGGGTTCAAGTAATCCTTCTGCTTCTGCCTCCTGAGTAGCTGGGACTACAGGCATATACTACCATGCCTGGCAAAATTTTTTTAAATTATGATTATTATTTGTAGAGACAAGGTCTTGCTATGTTGCCCAGGCTGGTCTCAAACTCCTGGCCTCAAGTGACCCTCCTGTTTAGGCCTCCCAAAGTGCTGGGATTACAGGTGCGAACCACCACAGCCTGCCTCCCTGGGATTATTTTTCTAGAATGTAATACATACATATGAATAAAATGTTTCAAAATAAAACAAGACAAAACAACTATCTAGGCCTGTTTATCTGCTGGAAGGCCTCCGCCTACCCCAGAGGCTGCAGGCTCCAGTGTGAAGACCATGCCCTGCTGAGGGCAGCCAGACCCCACCTTATTTCTTTTGCCACCAGCCAATTCTGCTGCTTAATGTAAATAGGCCTTGCTCTGGGAGTCGAGGTGGGCGGATCAGCGTAGACTCCGTCTCCAAAAAAATAAAATATAATAAAATGGCATGCTAAATGACACTGTAGGGATGCAGCCAGCAACATTCAGAGTGCAAGACACCATACAGGACAAAATAGCCTGGTTTCTTCAACAAATATATATCAAGGGGGTAAAAAATGGGGTGTGTGTGGGAGAACCTATAGACAGTTTCAATACTTTAATCATTAAAAGAGACTTAAATAACATATCAGTTATATTAATCCAATGTTTGTGGAGCCTCTTTGGATCCTGACTCAGAACAGTACACAAAATGTCATACAAAAAGGAAAATTTGAACACTATTGAAATTAATAGGGTTCGCGTCCCACCCACACACACCCCATTTTTTACCCCCTTGATATATATTTGTTGAAGAAACCAGGCTATTTTGTCCTGTATGGTGTCTTGCACTCTGAATGTTGCTGGCTGCATCCCTACAGTGTCATTTAGCATGCCATTTTATTATATTTTATTTTTTGAG